GCTACGTAGCCTACTACACGTTGCCGACCACGTCCCCATGATTATGCAGATCAAGATGCCGATCAGCAGCGTCAATATCACGAGCAACAGCATTCGTTGGGACTTCGGCCTCCTCGCTGCCGGGCTCCAGACGGGCGCCCACCGCGTTTCTTTTCTCAATGACGTCTACGCCGAGATCGGCAAACACAAGGAGGTCCTCCGAGTGGTCAAGATGGATCAGTTTCCGACCCGACACAACGCCCTAATCGCTCATATCATTCGTGAATGCGGCCGCAAGTACTACACAGAGGAAGGAGGACAACCACAATGGTACCAACAAGCTCGACTTGAACGACTCCGTCTGCTTAAAGAACGTGCTGACTGTCGAGCCCGACGACTACCCTTCAATCATGCAACTCTACGCGAGATCCAACGACGCCTACGAGCACACCAACGATGGATGGATCATTGGTGGAATGTCAGCCTCGACCAGGACATACGCGACGCGTGGGCCACTCGCGACCTCTCTCGAGTTGCATATCTCACGTGCATCCGAGCGGGACGACGGACAGGACCACGACGACGATCATACCTTGCACTGCCATCCACGCGTCCCGCTGCAGCCGAATACGCCGACGCCCTTACCCAGCCAGCTGTCCCGGGGGGGCTTTCTGCTACGCCTGCCTACGTCAGTATGTATATCGATGACCCGACAGCTATTCCACGATTACTGGCCCAACCGAACGACGCTCAACCAGTGGGGGAGCACATCGGCGCCCCTGAGCTCCACGACATTGAGACGGCAGCGGAGGAGCTCCACCATCTGCAGAAAAGACTGTGGAGGGAGAAACGGAGGCGCCACAATCCACCATGGGCATGGCCCATCGAACTCACTATCATGCTCCTCGCCCCGCAGTATTTGACGCGCCCTGGTGATCAACGGGCAGGGATGGGACATGACACCGCCGGCTATCATTACGCGGACCCGCTCGCGGAGCGGGTCTACCAACCCAGTCGAAGGAAGCTCGTGATCGACTACGACGTCAGCTCCACCATCATCCAGACTTTCATCACATTACTCGCTCATGTCCACCGATGTGGATCTCTGCCTGCCCAGGCGTTCACCAGCCAGGCGGTCGCCATTGGAAAAAAAGGAAAAGCCCTACTGGCAACGTGATTCAGGACATCCATGCATGCGCACGTTTACTTCACTGTTTCGACCAGTTTTGGCGATTATATCTTAGAATAGGACTCATACAGTATGGAACCCAATTCGATCCACCGCCGTGGGCCTATGGAGGCATTCATTCCCGCCGTCGCGAATCACTCATGTTCACTGCTAAGCTTTTGGTATGGAAGATGAGATCCGCCAGGATGTCTTTTCTCGCTAAGTCGTACGACATGACGAACGCATTCGCGGCAGGCTCCCACGAGCGACTAGTTGCCGCCCACACACTTCGACGCGAAGATGAGCATTGTCATCCCCTCCTTGAGCAGCACCGACATGAGGCAGTAGTATTTCTGCAGGCGTCCGATGCTAGCATCGCTCTTCGACCAGGGACGGGAGGGGGGATGGGCAACTCAAACGAGCCTGAACTTTTCATGGAATCATTTTATCCATTAGTTAAGCAGTGGTCCCAGGAGATGGCACAGGTCCAGGGAAATCCGTTCCAGGTACACTGCCCGTTTACTGGTGAAGCGTTTGATGCGCACCTTGGAGCTTTCATTGACGATCTAGTCAAGATCCTCTTGGTGCCAGACGGCGCGGCCCTCCAGGCGCTGCAGATTGATAAGATCGACAACGACGCGCTCTCCCAGGCCCTCGAGGCGGGCGGCTACGCACAGAACATCAGTAAGCAGGACACCCTGGTCTCACTGGGCACCCATGGGGCTACGAAGGAGGCCGAACGGAATATTTCTGGGAACGCAGTCCAGGACTTGATTCATCTCGGAGGATATGTACATGTTGCCAACAGTAATCGTCGTGAAGCCGAGGCCCGTCTGCAATCAGGTAAGATCGGGTGGTGCCGTCTGGGCGACCACTGGTTCTCTGGAGGTCCTTGGAAGGCTAAACGGCTCGCGTTCGTGTCCAACGTCGCGGGGAGGGTGTGGTCTGGCCTCGAAAGCTGTGTGTTGCCCCCTAGAGAGCTCCACAGACTCGACAGTTCGCTGGCCCGCAAACTGCGATCAATGATGAGAGGAGCGGCACATCAGGAGGATGAGCACAACAATCATCGATCTTTGTCTACCCGCCAAGTGTTTCTTGAATGGCAAGTTGCACCGACTGCCATCGAGCTACTCGTGCGCAGGCTCAGTTGGTGGCAGAGCATACTCCGATCGCACACGCATCATGGCCACTTTCTCGCTTCTTTTTCTTGGAAGATGCAAGTTCGAGCAGCAGGCGGCCATGAGCAACCGCCCCGTCAGCGCTGACACCCTCAATTCGCAGGGTGAGATCTCCGCAGACCCGAACGTGCACCCGTGGGCCACGCAGCTCGCGGACGATCTGCTGTGCCTGTCGTCCCACACGATCGGCGAGAGCTTTCAGGAAGCGTGGCAACCTCGAGTTGTAAAAAACTTGTGGGATGACGAGTTGGTTCGAGAGGCCTTCTTAAATTGTGACGTTCGGGCTCTCAGGGCTTCTTATTGGACGACTCAGTGGGCTCCCCCCGAGGCCAGCGTGATCACCTCCTCTCTCCCCTCGGCAGCAACATACGACGAGACGGACACTGACGACGAGACGAACCGCCCCTTCGTGTGCAACATCGAGTCATGCCAGAAACGGTTCGGGACGCTCAAACAGCTCGCCGCACACCAAACTAAAGCTAAGAGCCTAGGACACGGTATGCCAGTGGTATTGACTACCCTACAGATCGGCAACACATGTATTGTGTGCCAAACTACGTATCCAAATCAAGATCATGCAGTTAGACACCTACGACGAGCATGGCAAGCAGGCAGATGCATTCCAGAACTTACTCATCATGTATACCCCTGGATCCCAGCCACGTGTACTACATGCCCTCCACGGGACTACGCTCTGGACCATGCATGCCAACATGAATATCATGATCAGCAAAAATTTCGAGCTCACGTCCTGGGACATGTCCCACCGTCGCCATCGGGTTCCGTGCTCAAGCCTGTCGTCAGAAGGCTTACAGCGCGCTCGGCCACTCCGAGTGCTCCCCCGCCGCGCCCCGCGCCATCCAGCTGCCGCCCCTCGCCTGCCATCGAGGACACCCCTGCGGTACGCGCTGCCATTCGTCAGTCGGTGGAACGCATCGTGGGCAGCGACCCTCGCAGCATACCTAGACACCGACCACTTCGACGGCTACGAGCGGCGCAGCGCCCAGCAGCAGCATATGCAACATCTACGCGGTCACTTCGAGTGGCTACTGTTTCCTCTACGCCTACTCTTCCTGCACTTCCTCGTGGACCAGGCGATGACGCCCAAGCCGAGAGCGCCGTGGGGGCTCCCGCTGGACTCCTCCCTGGGCTCGAAGGGCTCTGGCACCGCCTCCAACGCCGCGACAGGCCAGAAGGCGACAAAGGCTCCACGTCCGCCAGGCCCGCCGCCGCCGCCCCAGAGGCGATCGCGATCACCGCGAACGCCAACCGAGGAAGGGGGGGCAGCCACGCCAGAAACCACGCCCATCGAGGTGGGCGAGGGAGACGTCGGCGAGGACAAGAAGCTGTCGCTCCAGACGGCGCACAAGACCGGGCTGAAGTACAGCATCAGCACGGACACCTACACGATGAGCAACGAGCACCCAGTGATCACAGCCATCGCGCAGGAGCTCGAGGACTACAAGCACGCCCTGGACTCCCTCGAGAAGAGCGGCACCCTAGAGGACAAGAAACGCCTGCAGGAGATAGGGTCGCCAGCTCCTTCCCTCGCGCTGGCGGCCCTGGAAGGACTGCGCAGGTGCGACGTGGGCGGCTCTATGAAGAGCGCCATTCGGAACTACTTGCTCCGAGCGGACCCTGGGGATATCGAGGCGGAGGCGGAGATCAGCAAGGAAGATCTCCTCGACGTCATCTCCTTTGTGCGACTGGAGAAGTGCCACGACGACACCAAGACGAAGCTGGTGATCGGCGCGCCCACGTGGGAGGGCCGAGACCTGATCAACCGCGCTCTCGCGGCCGAGGGCCAGGCGGTCCACCACAGAGGCGTGGCCGAGGGCCACGCGGGATGGCTCGAGGAGGAGGTCGGCCACTGGACGAAGACGCCCGAGCAGGGAACCCGTTTTTTTTTTTTTTTTTTTTTTTTTTTTTTTTTTTTTTTTTTTTTTTTTTTTTTTTTTTTTTTCTTTCTTCAGAACGAGCCTGCGCGGCACAATGCAAGCACAAGCGGAGAGGACACTATCCAGCGCCGTGTCATTTTTGTCCGAGGCGAAGCCCTCTTTGCTAGAAGTAGCACGGTCACGGTCACGTACCCTCCCGCCTCCGACGTGCCTCCACCTCTCCCCACTGCCGTGCCTGCAGATGCAGAGGAGCTATGCGAGGTGGAGGCCCCGCCTGAGTTCGATACAATCGCCGAGGATGAAGCGGCCGAATACTTTTTCAGCTAGCACCCGAGACGTTGCTTGGCACGCGCTGCGCAGGAGGCCCCTCTGCGCAGCACCCTGGCAGTTTGGCCCACGCGGGGCAGTACGAGACAGTTGGCTCTCTGCGACGGATCATTAAGTTTGGATTCGTTGTACGCCACATCTTTCCTGTCATATGTTGGTCCTGACGCCGAGGAACAATCATCATCATCATCATCATCAACATCATCATTACCTTCACCACCACCACCAACCGTCACCATCACCACCACCATCATCATCATCATCATCAGCATGATCATCAACATCATCATCATCATCACCATACTCATCGACAACAGAAGCATCATCTTTCGTGCCGATCTGAACTACATCATGTCCTTTGCATTGTCCAACCTATCCTCCCCGTTATCATTCTCGTCGTCCTCATGCTGATACGGTTGTGGAGAATTCCCCCCATTTCTCCTTCTCCCCATGCTTCCCGTTGACATTCCGGCTGCATGCACTTTGGCTTCCTTTACATATATCGTAAAGCTTCTCACTTCCTTACATTTCATTCATTCCTCGATGGCTCTCCGGGTCGTCTCGCGGGTCCTTGCCATCGGCCTCGTGGTTCAGCCTGTCGAGTGCCACGTAGAGGACGCGCTTGCGCTAGTGCAGTCCGTTGTGCATGTCTCGCCCGCCGCCGAGGCCGCCACGGCGCCCACCTGGAGCTCCGCGGCCGAACTTCAAGGCCTTCGAGAAGTAAGGTTGAAGGACGGGGATGTCCAGATCAGCTTCTGGCGGAAGCTGAAAAATATCACGTCCGCAGGGTCCATCGCGCGTCTCGAGGGCAGCGCGTCCGCAGAGAACCTGCTGCGCGCGCTGAGCTGGGAGTTCAACGCCTCCGAGACAGGGGAACCGAAGACGCAGCCGGAACTTGCCCTCACCATGCAATACAGGGCCAGGCTCGGGAACCGGCTCTTCCAGTGGGCCGCCCTGGTGTCCATCGCTGCAGAGGCGGGTGCCAAAGTCGCCGCGCCTTTCAACCCCAAGTACAACCCGGAGTCGACACCGCAGCTGTCGAAGGTGGGCCCGCTGATCTGGCAGGACAAGGAGTTCCAGTGGCTAGGCAGCCAGCCGAAGAAGTGCCACATCTGGGACCGGATCCCCGTCAAGCTCGACTGGAACATGGAGAACCTGTCCAACTTCACCCTGGGAGGAGTCCCCAAGGGCGAGTTGCAGCTGCAGGCCGACGGCCCCAAGCCCGAGCGCACGCAGAACTGGGCGCGCACGTGGGCCGACGCGATCACCAGGACGCTTATACACCTTGGAGGGGCGGCCTGCTCCATGCCTGCCCCTGGGGCCTACCCCTGGGGCCTATCTCTAGGCCTACCCTAGGCGTATCTAGGCGTACCCACACCCCTAGGGCCTACCCTATTCCAGGCCTACGCCCAGTGCCCAGGGGGGGTCTGGTTCGAGCCAGTTCGGGCAGTGGGACCGTCCTGGTTTCGGCGGCTTCGGAAGCCCCGAGGCACGAAAGCGGCCTTCCGAGGCCCCTCTCGCCGCCGGGTCGTCGTCGTCGTCGTCGTCGTCGTCGTCGTCGTCGTCGTCGTCGTCGTCGTCGTCGTCGTCGTCGTCGTCGTCACCGGGACGGAGGAGGGGCCAGGGCCAGGACTTGCCGCAGCAGCGGCGGCAGCAACATGGGTGATGCCCTCTGGGGTCCCCTGGCGCGCCCCTCCCCGACCCGCCCCGAATCGCGCTGGACCTCCTTCGGACGACGACTATGATCACGACGACGATGCCGACGACCACGACGACGACGACGACGACGACGAACGTCGACGAGTCGACGACGACGCCGAAAACGAGTCAACGACGACGACGACGACGACGATCTCTGACGATGAGGAGCCTCGACGACGACGACCGACGGGGACGACAACGTCGTCGACGACCGACGCCGACCGACAACGACCGACGGTGCCGACGCTCGACGACGACGACGACGATCGACGACAAAGACGACGACCGACATCGACGACGAGGAACGATGACGAGTCGACGACGACGACGACGACGACTCGACGACGACGACAAAGACGATGACGATTTGGACGCCGACGACGAGGACGACGTACGACGGTCGACGGACGGCCCACACCGGACGACGACGTCGACGGACGACGGACGTCTGACGACGAACGACGACGTCGAGAACGACCGACGACGACGACGACTGACGACCGATCGACGATGACGACGACCGACGACGACGACGACGACGACGACTCATGAGGATGGCAACGACCAACGACGACGAGTCGACGATGAAGATGATGACGATAATGATCGACGGCGTCGAACGACGACAATTACGACGACGACGACGGTGACGACGACGGTGACGACGATGAGGAAGACCGACGACCACGAACGACGAAGACCGATGACGACCGACGACGACGGAGGACGAACGACGACGACGAACGACGACGACGACCGACAACGACGACCGACGATGACGACGACGACCACGACGAACGACGACGACGACCGACGACGACGAACGACGACGACCGTCGATGACGACGACGCATGACGCGTAGCCGACGACGACGACGCGGCGACGACGCCGACGATGACGAATCGACGTTGACGACGATGACGACGACTACGAACGACGACAAACGACGGCCACCGTCGACAACGACGACGACAACGACGACGAGTCGACGAACGACGACGAACGACGGCGATCACGCCGACGACGACGAACGACGACGACTGTCGACGACGACGAATGACTACCAGGCGTCGACGACGACGACGACGACGCGACGACGACGAGGACTGCGTTGACGACGACGACGCCGGCGACGACGACGACGCGACGACGACGAGGACGACGACAAAAGACGGCGACCGAAGACTACGACGAAGGCGACGTCGGCGACGAGTCGACGAGTCGACGACGATGCCAGCGACGACGAGTTGACGACGATGACCACGCCGACGACGACGAACGACGACCAGTGTCGACGACGATGAATGACTACGAGGCGGCGACGACGACGCGACGACGACGACGACGACGCCGACGGCGACGACGACGACGGCGACGACGACGACGACGACGGCGACGACGACGACGAACCACGACGACGACGACGACGACGACGACGACGACGACGACGACGACGACGACGGTTAGACGCCCAACCGAACCCCCTTCGGACCCCCAGACTCCCCGCGGACCCCCCCCCCCCTCGGACGACGATCGATGCCGAGTCGACGCCGAAGCGAACCCTCCCCTGGGCCCCCCTTGGATCCCCCGTCGCCCCCAGGACCACCCTCGGTCTCCCCCTCGGAACCTCTCTCGGACCCCCCCTCGTTCTTGGCACCTCCCTCGGGCCCCCTTTGTTCTTTGGCACTTCGTCCTCTCTCCTCGTCCTCGCTGTTTTCCGTCTCCTGGTCTTCCTCCTACTCAACCTCCCTCATCCTCCATCTTCAGGGGGTGTGTCAGAGCTTTGGGTTCCTTAGGCAGGAGGGGTCAGAGTCCCGAGGGGGTGCGTTCATGCTCCCGCGTGGTGGCAGGGGGGACAGGGGCGCCGTCGCATCGTAGATGGCACGCGTCTGCGAACCTCGTGCGCCGCTGCGGCGTGCCTCTTTAGCTGCAAATGCCATACGCACAAGCATGGTATCATAGAACTGCACAAGGCATGCATATAGACCGCTCGGCCAATTCTTACCTCTGGAAGGTGTGTACACCGGTGAGCAGCTGCTTCTTCCTCCTTGTGTCCGCCCTCTCCCCCTACCCTTGCCTTTTCACCCGTCCCGCCACCTCCTCCAGCTTCTCTCCTCCATTCCCTCCTACCACGTACGCGAAGGGGGGGGGGAGGATGGTGGGATGGACAGCCTCTCAGACCTTTTGCCCGGCTTGTGTGCCCCTTCGCTGAGGGAGTAGGCTGTGTTGGCCAGCGTATGCTGTACGATGCACGTGCGTACACATGCAGGTAGATGCACGTGCAATCACCGGACAGCTCGCCCTTGGCCGCACAACAGCCCAACGCCAAGGAGGACCGCGCGGGAGCCATCTTGGCTGTCAGCAACTGAGCGCCAAGGAAGATCGTGCGGGGGCCATCTTGGGCGTCATAATCCCAACGCCACGGCAGATCGTGCGAGAGCCATTTCGGCCATCGGGGTCGGGCCGGTCAGGGTACGAGCCATTCGGGTTGAGTCGTCCGGGGTTTGGGGTGGAAGTATCTGAAAGGCGCCCTCTGCAGCCAGCCCCCAGACCAAGTCATCCTGTGGTTATAGTTGGGGAGTTGTTTCACTTCAGGCCATGGGGGCTCTCAGGCCACCTACGGGACATACGGCGCAACATTGGGGTTGTCACGGGGTCTTTAAAAGTCCATCTTGGCGGCCTCTTGGGTGCATCTTGGGGCCTTGTTGGGCCATCCTGCTCGGTCTTGGTGGCATCTTGGGGCATTGGGGGGCCACTTTGGTGCCGTCTTGGGCAGTGCAGCAGCCTCAGGGGGCCGTCCTGAAGCGATCTTGGGACACCCCATGGACCGTATGTGGGGGATCCTGGGCGATGGGTCACGGCCTCCTTGGGTTAGACCTTGGCATGGAGACGGGCCTGTCCCTCTGCAGGAGGAATATTCAACACTAGTTTTAAAACATAGTCTGGGACGATGTTTGGAGCATTTTGGAGTATTTGTGGTGTATTTTGGGGGTATGTTTGATTTTTCGTCCAAAAGCGGCCTGTAGAGGGACAGGCCCGACCTAACCTTAGCATGGAGAAGGGACTGGAGCGTCGAGAAACAAGACGTAAAAGACGGCACGCAGGACACACGACAACAGGTCATCAGAAATTTCACAGCCCTTGCGCCCTCAAGAGTGCCGCCGAATCTCCATGAAAGCATTTTCCTCTCGCCAACTTCTCCCTCCCCCCCGTCCCCTCACCATATCATCCCCCCTCCCCGCTTGGCCCCCTCTCCAGGTCTGTAGCTGACATCGCCTCCCATTCCTCTTTCCTCTTCCTGTTGCCGGGTCCCCCGCCCACGATTACAACCCGACCAAGAGGTGAAGTTGCCACCAACATATTGTCCTTCCCTACCCGCTGGCAAGAACTCAGATGTCACCCGTATCCGATTTACAGTCACGGCCATCCAAAATATCCCCATTCTCAGGCCGTAGCCAACTTAGCTCAAGCCTACTGGACGTCGAGCCGCCGCATTCTCACCTTCGCTCACAGCCGAACGCGTGTGAGCGGGCAAGCCGTCGCTGTCCAAGGGGCGGGCGCCGGTTCAGATGTCGGCGGTCGGTGCGATGGCGCAGACGAAGGGGCAGGGGGACTCGATCGCCCTCGTCAGCACGCCAGTGCGCATGCGGTCGAAGGGGCGGGGGGACGCGGTTGCCCTCCTCAGCACGGAGCCATCATGGTCGGCCGCCAAGGCGGGAGCGCAGAAGGAGTGGCCGCTGTGGCGACTGAGCCTCGTCGCGCTCCCGTGCATGTCGATCACGGTCGTGTGGTCGGTCATCATGCCGTGCAGCGCCCCCTACCTGGTGGGGCTCGGGATGAGCCCCGCGTCCGCCACCCTCAACAACATGGCGGGCCCGATCTGCGGCTTCTTCACCTGCCCGCTGGTGGGCGCGCTGTCCGACTCGTCGACCTCCGCCTACGGGCGAAGGAGGCCCATCATCGTGGCCGCGCTCGGCGCCTTGTGGCTGTCCGGGCTCCTCTTCGCCTCCAGCGCGGCGCTGCTGCCCGCCAGCGCGGCCGCGGGCTTTGCGGCCTGCATGCTGTGGCTGATCGACATCGCGCTCAACGCGCTGCAGACGCCCATGAGGGTGCTGGTGGCGGACCTCGCGTCGAGCGGTCAGCAGGTGCAGGTGCAGGTGCTGGTCGCCTCCTTCCAGGCGGTCGGCTTCCTGGTGGGCTTCTCCATCATGAGGGTCTACGGCGGTGCCGGCGACCTCTCGGAGCACGTTCTCGAGCTCATGGTCGTGGTGTGCTGCATCCTCACGGCGGCGGTCACCGTCATGCTCTGCGTGGCCACGGAGAAGCGGCCAGCGGAGGACGGCGCCGCCAGGCAGTGCAGCCCCGTGTCGGACGTGCTCGAGGCCGTGCGCGGGAGCTCCGCGCTGCTGCGGCACCTGGCCGGCGTGCACTGCCTGGTGTTCGTCGGAGCGACGGTGTGGCTCTCGTACTCCGTGCAGTGGTTCGGCCTCTGCGTGTTCGCGGGCGATCCCGCCGCGCCCCCGGGCTCCGCGGCCCATCGCTCGTACGCCTCGGGCCAGGAGGCGTTCGCGTACGGGGGGCAGTGCGGGTCGCTGCTGAAGCTGCTCACGTCCCTGCTCCTCGTCGCCGCCCTCCACCGGACCGCGCTGCCCCCCAATGGCGCCTACGCCGCCTGCATCTTCGTCGGGGCGGGCACCAGCTACGCGGCCGCGTTCTTCGTGAAGCACAACGCCACCTTCGCGACGGCCTGCATGGCGCTGTCGGTGCTGCCCTGCGTCGGCTCGGGGGGTATCCCCTGGGGCCTCATCGCCGCCAGCAACAAGGCCGCCGAGGAGCAGGGGCTCCCCGTCAGCACCGCGCTGCAGATGGCCCTGCTGAACTGCGGCCTCGTGATCGGCCAGCAGCTCACCCACCTGACGCTCGCGGCGCTGGAGAGCTTCGTGGCGCCCACGCTGGCGCTCCCCACGATGATGGCCGCCGGCGCGGTGGCGCTGACCACGGCGGGCGCCGGCGCGCTCCTGCTCCCGAGCGGCGCCGAGGAGTGCGGCGCGCTGGGCGCGGGCGGGCGCGCTGGCGGAGCGGACCTGGAGCGCAACGGCGCCGACCTCTGACGCCCAGGAGGGCGCGCGCGAGAGCGCGAGAGCGCCAGAGCGTGAGAGCGCGCAAGGTCGGGGCGGGCACGGCGCCCCTGCCGCAGGGCGGCAGGCCACGCTCGGGGCAGCGCACCACGTTCCCCCTCTCAAAGACGAGGAGAGGAGGAGGACGACGACGAGGAGGAGGCGGAGGAGGAGGAGGAGGCGGAGGCGGAGCAGGAGGATGAGGA